TTATGGCAGCTTACAGCTCTGATGAAGCCCCCCCAGTACAAATACGTGAATAAATTCCCATCACAACAAACAAGAAGCAGGTTTACCTCCAGTGTTTCCTCCCTTTGTTGTCTCTGTCTCAGTCCCTGCGGTGCTGCCGCTCAGTCCTGCTCTCCTGCTGAATAAACCCTCCGCTCTGCTCCCGTGTACTAGCCCACGCACGTACGTGACGCCACACGTCGCCCCACCCACATATTTCTGTAAACCACCTTGCGTATGGAAGTATGGCGGCCCCAGCGACACAACTACTACTCGGCCAAAGTTTATTGCTCAGATTTTCACGTGAAAGCGATGAATAAGTACGCGCACCGACGGGTCGGCAACGAAGAGCTCGGCGGCTGTAAACAGAGGAGAGGACTTGCGGAGAGCGTCGTGGGCCTCTGGCCGGCTGAGTTTCCTCGATTTCCCTTCGCCTCCTTGATTGAAGTGCCTTTTAGTCCGGGTACCACAGGGGAAGAAACTCCGCAAGACGGGAAGAGTGGACACGGAAGTTTGGAGCAAAGTGTGGCTTTGGAGAGACCAGCTGCACAGTGTTAAATTGCGGCGACCGGAATGCTTTTTGTGTGTGTGTGTGTTGTTTTCGTGCACTTGTCCGAGGTTTAACGCCAGCGTGTTGACGGCGAAGCGGCGAGAGCCAACTGTTGACTGCTCGGTGTGCAGTTAAGGTCTCGCGCTGCGTCCCACCAGCAGACGTTGGTTAGCTTCATGGCTACCTTCAACGTTAGCTCGAGGTCGCCTGCTAACAAACAATATACAAGTTTCCATGGCCGCGTAAGTTTCTCTTCACACTTGTCTTTGCTATTTAAGTTTGTAGCTTCAGCACAAGTTTGGGCAAAAAAGAAATAAATAAAAAAATCAGTGTTTCTCTGCTGTACTTCTCGTTACTATGGTTAAATGTTTTTGACATTGCTTCTGTAATAACATAAGTTGCCCACCGTCAACAGTGTAAAGGCTAATTAATGCTAATATTTTGTGTGCTGTAAAGTGGCACAAATGGTTAATTGTTAGTCGTCTTAAAGCTGCAGGTTCACAAATATATTTGTGGATAAGAGGGGATGTAAAAGTGAGCAGTTCAAGACACTACCATGTTTCAACAAGAAGTAAATCACTGCATTTGTTGAGGAAAAACCCTTAAAAATGCTGTCTGTAACGCAGCAATTACATTAGCATGGAGCAGTTTGTGTGGGCACAACAAATAGATGAGTAGCCTGCAGTTACTAAGGTTTACAAACGTTTGCTTGTCATTTAAAAAAGAGAAAATGTAATTGTTGGAGTGCAGCCTTTATACAACAGTAGGAAGTGGATTTTAGCACGCACATACTGTATATTTTATACCTGTCCTGACAGCATACCTGAAGTGGGACAGGTTTATGTCAGGTAAGCAAGACACACATAAAATGAGTCATTTGGCATTCAAACCAAAAGACATAATTTAGTTTAGGTTACGTGTAATGTTTATTTCCATTCTAGGAGGATATTTTTTTTGCTTTTTATTGAAATCATCCCTGAGTTTTGATTGTTTTTTTCCCCCCCTCTAGATTCCTGTGAAATGCCTTTTGTTTGTCCTCTGAAGCACCCAAGCTCCATTAATGCATGATAAACAGAGACATACTGGAGTAATACGGATCTGCATAGGTGACCCGCATTACCCATACTCCAGGAGAGGACAGCCTGAGCCAGGGAACGGGGCTCCTGTCTTCTCCCGATCCCCTCCCTGCCCGGTGGCCAACTGTTGGACGGTGAGCAACTGAGGCCAGCTTGGAGAGTCCCGGCTGCGGCCTGGCACCCTGCCCTTATGGGGCAGCAGCCGGGGAAGTTTGTAGGGGACCAGAGGAGACCCAGTCTACCGGCCTTCATCAAGGGGGGAAGGAGAGAGTCATCGCGCCATGGGAGCCAGCCCTGTAATGTTTTTGTTGTGCACGGTAAGATCAAATGTTTATGATACGACGTTAGTTTTTTCTGCACTCTTGGCTTCAGTATTGACAAAGTGCAGTTTTGCAGCTTTTTAGCATTGTGTGTGTGCATTGGCCTAAAATCAAACCCTGTAACACCTAACATGTGCTTTCTCCTCTCTGTGAACTACTTTTACACCAGAGCACACAGTATGTAGTAAAGATGAGTCAACTGGAGCACCTAATGAACCTTTTGGAAAAATGTGTGCACTGTTCAAGAGCAAGACTTTTAAGACGTGAAAGATGTTACTGTGCATACATAGAAATCATAGTGCACAGATTATTATCAGCTCAGTTGTAGTTGCGTTATTGAGAAGCAGCTTGCCAGCTGGATAGCAGATTCACGCTTGTGCAACCAGGAGATGAAAAAGTGTTGACTATAAAGCATGCAGTTAGCATCTGAACGGCTTATGATGAAACCTTCTACAGTTTAATAATTCAAGTAACTCGCAAAACCACTATTGCTTTGAAAACTTGACACAGAGAGACCCAAGAGATGGTTTGATTTATCTGTACCTGAGATTGGTCGCCTCTGTGGTCTACGGTCTGTCCCTTGACCAATACAGATCGGGATAACTCTAGTAAAACTACACAACTAATCATGGCAAGAGATATAACATGCAATACATTGCAACTAGTGTGGTGTTATGTTGGTTCACTTGGTATCTGTCTCATAGCAAACTGATGCACAACTGACCGTAAAAGTTGAAGAACACAAGTTTCTGCTGCATTTTGCCAGAGGATTTGCAAAGAACCATGTTTCTACCTGATTACTAGTTGAATTACTCTCAGTGTGATGTAATGGAGAGGTTAAAGTAAAATCTGTAGCAGTCTTTTCAACCGGTGCCCTCTGCTGTATTTGTTTTATTTTTGTTTTGAACGTACCAACACACCAGCATAAAAGTATTGGCTTCTTTATTTATTTTAAGGTAACATTTTTAAAGAAAACTGTAAAATTTTTTACTGATATTTAATTTTAAAGCCTTTTATCGGCCGATACAAATGATAGCGTGGATGTCATAGTGCATCCCTAATTTTATTGAAATGTTTTATGATGCACTGTTCAGTAATGGGACCCTCCTCTACGAGTAAAAGATTTTTGAACAACTCAC